TTGGTTGGTTGGTTGGTTGGTTGGTTGGTTGATTGATTGATTCTCATGTTACTGTAGATGTCATTGGGAGTGAAACTCATTGGTGAGTGTAAAGTCCGTGTTGATTGTGACCGAACACTAATGGTGATTGTGAGACTCATTTCTGCTGTGGTTTCTTTTGAATCACTTTTTAATGCATTCATTATTTCAGCAGCTTTAAAGTGCGTTTCTATTATCACCTGCCTGCTGGTGTTTGTTCAAAGTGTTGCAACTTGTGTGACGTACATTCATATCTTCTTCATCAACAGTTCCTCAGAAAGAAAGTGTTTAAAATGTCAAAATCTTGACTCTTTCTCCAGGAATTTATTCTTTTGTGTTGCTCAAACAGGATCATTCAACTAAATTCAGATTTTCAAACAACAAAAGGAGAACAGTTTTATATCAAACTCCTGTTTTTGTGAACAGGCCTTTTCCACACACAGATGACAGATAATATGCTCTTGAGTTGTGTTGTATTCAGCCACAAGTGAAATGGAAGGAAACTGTCAAAGGAAGTGTTTTTCTGCCGTATCACTCTGATGTTATCGCTCTTCTTCTAAACCTGAGCTTCACATTGAGAAACCACGAGAGAGAAAACCACTGAGACTCCAACAGCATGTGCTGCACTCCGACTGTGAGTGATTTTACTCTAGTTATGCCACATACATATATATATTTCAATTGTGCGTATGGTGTGTGTAGATTTATATCAGTGTGTGTGTGTGGATTTATCAGAGTTACAGATCTACAGAATTCATATTCATGAGCTCCTAGATGTCTTTGGCTGCTGAGGTTGTTTCAGGCTTTTTTCTTTTTAAATCACTTCACCTTGTTTCACCTTGCTCTTCACAGATGAGAAGATGAGCGGCAGGAGATCTGTGTGCGTCTTGATCTGTGTCTTCTGCTTCTGCTGTAAGTAAACTTCAGCTCGACTCTGAAACATGATTTTTCCCCAGCACAGGATAAAAAATAAAGATAACTGCGACTTTTACACAGTTCTGACAATTTCACAATTCTGACTTTATATCTCACAATTCTGAGTTTATATCTCAATTCTGAGTTTATATCTCACAACTCTGAGTTTATTTCTCACAATTCAGAGTTTAGATCTCATAATTCTGAGTTTACATCTCTCAATTCTGAGTTTATTTCTCATAGTTCTGAGTTTATATCTCATAATTCTGAGTTTATATCATAATTCTGAGTTTATATCTCATAATTCTGAGTTTATATCTCAATTCTGAGTTTATATCTGTAAATTCTGAGTTTATATCCACAATTCGGAGTTTATATCTCAATTCTGAGTTTATATCTCACAATTC